GAGAACTTGCACAATTGGTGGCTGACTAAATACTTTTTTGCCCCACTGTATGCATGTCTGTATACGCTGCAAGAAAAAATGGTAGTAGAAGTATCAGTAGTAGTAAAAATAATAGCAGTATATAATTATTTCAAAGGCATTCCAAAATCTTGTGCATTTCTCAATTCACATATATTAATGATCTTATAACTGGACATACTTCTGCAGGTGCATAATTGACCCTGTATGCCTACTCACTGTATATCATCTGATAACAAAGTCATTTCTGTATTAGATGTTCAACAGACAAATATAAGAAAAGTCCTGCTGGATCAGTCCTAAGGATTATCTAGCACAGTGTTCCTTTTCACTCAGTGGAACCAGATGCTTGTGAGAATTTCACAAGAATAAGAGCCTTTCTCACTGTTGCCCCGGGCAACTGGTATTTATTTCATTGACCACTAAATAAATCATTAAGCAAAAATCTATAAACATTACAGCCATAAACTCAAGGTTCACCAGTAAAACAAATTGTGATCTTTACAATTAATTAAATGTATTTTTGAAAAAAGGCTGTTAACAGCTGTACTTCAGGTCACAAATGAAGCATGGATATGTGAGTAGTAGATTGAGTTTAAGACACGGAAGATCCAGATTCAGATTTTCCCAGTCACAACACTTGTCTCTTACCAAAATTTACCCAACTGGATGCTAATATATTAGTTATTTGTTGCAAATTGAGCACATTATTAAATCCAAACAAGCAAAGTTTTAAACAAACTACACATGCCAGCTGAGAACAGTGATTTGAACTGTTTTAACTTGATATTTAACTGAAAAATGCAATCTTAAAGCTTCAAAATTCATTTACAGGGGTGTTCAGATCACTTCCAATCTGCCTTGAATTGTTGATGAGTTGATGAGTTGATTTGGAGAAATCTGGTTTAATTTGCTAATACAGCTCCTGGCACCCTGCGCTCTGCCCTGTGCTCCACCAGCCTTGCCATCCCCAGCTGATTGTTGCCGTCTTCTTCCTCCCTTTGATGACAAGATGTGCCTGGCCCTTTGTGAGGCAGCTGCTGGCTGCACAAGCCCTTCTTCAAGTCGTGTGTGTCCTTCTCTTAAGTTGTGTGAGACCTTCCAAAGCCTGATGAGAAGGTCGTGCGTGGCCTCGGGACAAAGGCCTTGCATGTCCAGCAGCTCCCTTGTGAAGGGCCAGGATGGGCACGCCTCATCAGCAACAGGAGGAAGAAGACAGTGAAGCTAGCTGGGGGTGGCAGGGCTGGATAGTGCAGGGTGGCCAAAAGGGCAGCGATGGGAGGGGAGATAGGCAGGTGGGGGGAGTTGAACCGCTCCTGTGGTTGTAAGTGCAGGTGGGCTGCCAAACACCTGAATTTTGAACATGTGACCACAGGGGTAGTGCAGCGGCCATAACTTTGGGGACCATTCATTCAGTGCTGCTGTAACTGTGTATGGTCACTGAACAAATGGTAGTTAACTGAGGACTACCTGTATGATGTAATCTGATTCAGAAACTTGATTTGATTCAGATATTCAATTGCATTGCCTTTGAACTGAATCTCTGGATCAAAGTTCACACAAATCTGTTAGGTTATATGAAATATCTAAGAGCTGAAAACTGAAAAGTCTGAACCCATCTGGAGTACCATTTCTGCTTAACTATGGGAAAGTAATTTTATATAGAGGGCTAATTTGGTGTAGTGATTAAAGTTTCTGAGTTAGAAACTGGGAGGCTATGAGTACTAGTCCTGCCTTAGGCACAAAGCCAGCTGGATGACCTTGGGCCAGTCATTCTCTCTGAGCTCTGGGAAGAAGGCAGTGGCAAACCACTTCTGAAAATCTTGCCAAGAAAACTGGAGGGACTAGTCCAGGCAGTTGCCAGGAGTCAGTGCTGATTCGAAGGCACTTAAAAAAAAAAGTTTAACCATAAGGAAGAAATGTATTTGAATGACATAAAGGTAAAAGACAGACACCCAATAAGATGGGATGAAAATGAGGAAGAGGCTTCCTAAGATTTGAATTTCTAAAGAAGTAGGGAGAAAGGATTAGTTTTTGTAAGAGTACATACCTAGTATGATAGCGAAACCTGTGAAGTTAATGTCCATTATACTTGTGAATTAATTAAAACTTCAGTTAGCATAAATACGTCTAACAAGACTTTTTGTTAGAGCCCTTTATACCTTTAAGATATTTGATAGTTCACAAATTCTAGAAATTTCTTCACTTAGGACTTTGGTGACCTACTTTTCAGCTTTTGTTCTTTTAAAGTGCTTCAACTGACTGCATTTCTATGTGATTTATTTCTAGGCTTTCTTTTCCCCTGGTAGGGACAATTTTTGTACCTTTAGTGAACTATCTAACCCAGTGTTTTTCAACCTTGGCTGGGGAATTCTGGGAGTTGAAGTCCGCACATCTTAAAATTGCTAAGATTGAGAAACACTGGTCTAGTTTATGGTAGACTATCTTGAGATGTTATTGCTTCTAATAATTTTCCTTCCTTTCTTTGTTTTTAGATTATGGCTGTGATATGGAAGATGACGATGGGTATTAAACCTTTCTGTCTGCAAATGGAAATCGTGGGAGAAGCCACTGGTAGTAAAAACAACCTTTCCTGCCTTGGAAACAGATGTTCCATTTGCTATGGATTCCTGTCAGTTTCCATTGACCTACAGGCAGGCACTGGAGTTTGGCTTTGGAATACTTGAATTATGCTGGTCTTTGACCGTAATAAAGAGTTGATTGATTGATATTTGAAAGGTTTCTGATTTGGATCATGCTATAAGAAAAAGATTGACTGAAGCAGCAGTTCCAAGGAAGAGAGAAGAGCCAAATGGCTGACCACACATCACATTGGACTTACTATGTGGTTGACCTTGATTCAGTAATATATATTGCTGTAAGGATGCATACAAAGAATAATTGCTACAGAATGCTAGACCTCTGTGTGAATATATCTGAGACTTGAACATTTAGAATCCTCAATAGCAGAAGCTTGTTCCTGGTACAACATCCATGCTTCCATGCTGCAGACGTGATAATAAGTATCAAAATGGACAGACAGCTTCCTTTGGAAAACAAGCTCAAACATATTCTTTGTTTGTTTGTTCATACTATCCTAGGATCAGACCATTGCTTGCCTATAGTCTCTGTGCCAATATAGGACACCAGTTATATTTTTTGTTTTAATTCCTTTTAAAAAGTTGTTGTATTAGAGTGGAGACCTCATGGGTGTTGCTGTTGTTCAAAGCTTCTTTTGAGGAGAGTTATTCTGTATTCCAAGGAAACTGAGCTAGGTCTTCCTTTCACTCACTGCTACTATTAGAGATGGGGCAAGCAAAGGGTAGGCTGATGAGGAGGAAGGAAAGCTCAATAGATTAACATTTGACACTCATTCTTCTGACTGAGGACCATTTCATTTAAAAAATAAGATATTGCTTATCTCAGGGCAATCTCTGTTATCTTGGCAAAAGGGTCAGATTTGTCTCCAAGGTGATGCCTTTGTTTTGTTTTGTAGCAAGTAATTTCAAAACTTTTTTCTTTTTGATGTAATTTAATGTTATTTAATGGGGTCATTAAGGATGTATTTATAGTTCAACTGTGTTAAGAAGCTTCACCTATCACTATTTTATCAATTGATCAGTTGCTATAACTAGCAACCTCAGAAATGTAAAACAGACCAGTAGTTTCTGGTCCTAAATTCTGTAAGTCAGATCTTCCTTGATTCTCATCCCCACTGGACTACAAGTTGGATCTGATTCCTGTGACTTTTTTTTTTTTTTGCACCACTACTTTTATTTGTTATTAGAAACAGAAGTATTGATGCCACTTTTCATCCTCTGATGAACAAATAAGGGTATACCAAGTAGCTTTATGGAAAATAGATTCCTTCCTATTTAAACAAAAAACATCCAGTTTTTCATGTTGGTCTTCATTAGCCAAACTACCTCTTTTTGCTGTTGCTTAACTACACCGATTCAAGGCTGGGTGATGCTTTTAATTCTTCCTCTTGAAGAGTGAAGTGGAAACTAATTTCTTCCTTTGTTCCCAAGACCTGGATCTCAAATAGCAAACTGTGTCTTAATTATACTGCTTCAGATTACAAATGGGAATTCATGTGAGGAAACGGCATTCCATGCAAATGATCCTTTCCAGATAGGCAACTTAGCATGGTAGAGAGAAATACTAGCATTTACACAGAGAAGCTTTCAATCAATAACACTACACACAGAGAGTCACACTATGCTCGCAGTCTGAAATGGTTTGGGTCAGGTTTACCACTTTATTAAATTAAATCCAAGGTGCTGGTTAAAGCTTAGCAATATGTACAAGAAGAAGAAGAATATGGCTAGTCCAGTGGGCTATTCTTGTGTGGTGGGCATTTATCTTGGCACTGAATTACTATATTAGTACTTGTAAAATTACAGCTCTTTTTTCAATAGTACTTTGTCCACTTTTACTTTGATAAAGATTGTTATGGCAACATAATTTATTCACTGCTAGAGGAACAAGCAAAACAAATGCTTTTTTGTAAGCACTGAATTAGGAGTTTGCCAACAATTAGCTTGAGCAGCTGCTGCTTTGCCTTATGGCAGGGATGAGAAACCTGTATCCCTCCAGAAGTTGCTGAACTACAACTTTTGGCAGCCCCCGCCAGCATGGCCAATGGTGAGGGATGCTGGAGGCTGTCATCCAACACCATCTGGAGGACCACAGGTTTTGCATCTCTGTCTCATGAGTTCATTTGTTTCCAAAGAGATGTTCCAAAAGAGGTAAAACTTTTATTCAGTGATTTTACCACCTCACTTCTTTTGAGAGAATGAAAGTCTATCAGACTTCCCAATATAAACTGCTACTGCTTCGAAGAAGGTATTACGTTGCCAGAGGAAAAAAAAATCTATGAAATCCATGATATCAGAATAAGATGGTAACTTAATGTTTATGTCCCAGATCAATTGCATAGTAACCCCACACCAAACCCCAATCTGCATTTATGTCAGTGTTGTCCAAACTTGGCCACTTTAAGATGAGTGGACTTCAACTCCCAGA